TTGCGTAAGGAGGAAGCGAAATGGACCAAAAAAGGACGGCAAATCCACAAAATATCTCCCCCAACTCAGCTCACACGGCTCCACGCGACGGCTACGCTTAACGACTCCAACAAGTGGCCAAATGGCTTAACAACAGTAACAAAAAAGTCCACTTTTATATATTGTAGAGGATCTAAAGAGGAGAAAACATTCAACACATGAAAGTTATCCTTGATGCATAGCTATCAACCCTATCAAGTTTCGTAATTTTAACTTTAACCACTTGAAGAATTTAAATATATGAATTAATATAGAATTATATTATTTGTACCATTTGGGGTACACTTTGGTTTACCTGACCCCACATCCTCCCTCACATGGGGGTCGGGTGCCACATCCAATAAATGCGTGAGATCCGACCCCATGTGAGGGAGAGGATGGGACAGGGTAAACCAACATGTACCACAAAGGGTACATATAGCAAGATCCATTAATATATGTTGTGAAATCCCAAAATAACTATTGATCATGTTATATTTGTATCTTTCCATACTTGACCACATGAGTATACAATTTATGACAACTTGTATGATCATGGAATATTATCATTATTTGCTCAGACGAAACGTGTGAAATGAGATAATTTATTACAAAATACTGCTTCAACGATCATAAAACTAACACGGAGACAAAACCCTCTATTCTGCATAAAAATTGCAGAACCTGGGATTTATCCGCCTTCAAACGTTGCCAAAAATGGCAGCAAACTGGGGTCGCCATTATTGCTGGTAAACCATGAGAGAAATCCCCCTATTTTGCTTTCTTCACTATTAGAGACACATAATTGTAATTTTTCAATTACATATGCATAATTAATACTCATGTATTATTCACACTCATGAATTCTTCTTTATAGATTGATTTATAAATTTGCCAAGCGGAGCATCGTTTGCACAAATTCGTTTGAGGAGTAACATTGAAGTTGCATTGTCCCCCCCAAATTTTATAACTTATGTTGTAATTAAAGTAATTAAGGAAATGAAAAAACCAACAGTATGTTTAAGTGAAAAATATCATGCCCTATAAGAGATCAAGAACGTTATCGCCGGAAAGTGATGGTGGAGGCGGCTTTAACGAAGGGATTTGGTTTGAACCTATCCCCCGGAAGATGAAGAGTCCGCCGCCTCGCTAAATCCAGGGGGCTTGCTGTGGACAAAGTGGAATGCGATGCAGCAAATTAAGGATTCGTTTTAACATGATTGTTGAGAAGTCAACATGAGCTTTTAACACTTAAAACTTGTTCTTAGAATTTTA